TGCACTCGAAACTGCATCATAGAACTCATTTTCAAAGGTCACTATCTCGTCACTTTCCTTTTGCATGTCAGCAAGAGGTACATTTTGCTCAATTTCACTGTGGCATTCAGTAAATTCTTCAAGCAAGGGTTGAATTTTATTTAATCGTGCATTAATTTGTGCAATTTTGATTGTGTCAATGTTGTTTATATCAAGAGAATCAAGAAACGTTTGAAATCTAGTTAATGAGCTTTTTAATTGGCCTCTTCTAATTCTTAATTTGCCTAAATCGGCCATTCTGCTATGTCAAGCAATTGTTCGAATGAACACAAAAAGAAATGTAATAAAAATATTAACGAACCGTGTCAGGTAAGTCTACGTTTAGTCTAGCAAATCTACTTTTTAATAATTGGAATTGACTCACTCGATGATTCGGCCTGGTCGTCATACAGCGTAGGCTTTGCCAACCGCTGATCGTCGTCAAGGGGAGTACGTGAAGTCTCCATGTACAAAAATGGCTGCCTATTAATACAATTTATTTGAACATTCCATCTTCCATCACAAATCCATCTCGAAAAGCTACCATCCGCTCGATGGGACCAAAAATATGTATTTGGTTGATAGTGGACTGTATAAATTGCTGAATAAATAAGATGGTAAACTTTTATTTTGATGGTTTATTGTACAAACTAGGAAATATTCGTTACAAACAAAAAGGTAATGTTTACTGTTGAACTCTACAGAACCGAATGACTATCCTTGTCGCGCGCGCTCAATCCTTGGTTGGCGCTGCCAATTGCGGACGACTTGGAACTAAGATATTGCCAAGGATAATGCGAAATTTAAATTAAAATAATAATTTTTTCTGATTTAGGCCTTTGGGTATGAACAGTACCTACCTTTTTTTTCTATATATTGCTACTGTTACTATAACCCCTATTAAAAGTAACATCAGTGACGTCATTGAACTGATGTTACTTTAAAAAAATAATTAGGTATAGTAACACCTCTGTTACTTTAGCCACGGCCAATATGTAAAGTATTGGTTTGCTCTTTGTCAAATTACACGTTACAAAAAAAGAAGGAACGATTCATTCTGAACTGGCTCCTAAATAAGAATATGACGCAAGCCTGTCACAAACTTGCTTCTCATTGGACGCTCACCTGCAGCCTACAAGCGACGCGCGCAGTCCAGGTAATAGGAGATCGGTCTATTAAGTTTTCGAAAAATTTAAACATAAAATATTGCTATTTTTGCCGTGTAAATTCAATAGTTGAACGAGATGTCTAAGAACTATTGTGGACATGCAACCACGAAGCAAAAAGATTAAAAAGAACCTTTAATTGAAGTTATAAACAATGATGACGAATTGATGAAAGGACAATTTTCAGATTCATTCATTCACAAAGTTGATATTCTTGTTGGAGCTTCTAGAAAAGGATCTGAATAATTTCTTGTATAAAAAATCAGTATTTCAAAAGGATTTTCTCGTCTATCTCATTCTATTTCATCCGCCAACCGCTGCATTATCTATGATGTCTTCAATTTCAATAGGTTCATTAACAATAGCTCGCTTTCCATACTTTATAATATACTTAATAATGGGTTCACAAGCCAGTTATTTTATAGGGAATAGGAAGCAAAATACAAAATCAAAGTACTCTGACAAAATAGTCAATAATTATTGACAAAAAACAATTACAAAACAAACTACAAAGTACCGAATTAAGGTTAGAAATACACGTTTTCACCGAAATTTGTAACATTCACCACCCTTTCCGGTGGTGAATCTATTCACCCAATAAAAGGTGAAAATTTTCACCTTTTTTTTTTTCAAGAATATGATTATGTACATTTTTGGTGAAAGCTTAGCAATTTCACCCGGTGAATATTTTCACCACTTTCAAGAATTAGGCCCCTTGGCTATTATACATTAATTTAATTCATAACCATAATGACATATTTCTGGCATTTTTCGACAAGTTTTTAACCTAGAAAGCTTCAGATGACATTATTTTGACATTTTTCCACCCGTTTTTAACCTAGAATATGTCATTGCCTGTCAAAATTTTGTATGTTACACCCGGGCTGCGTTCAGGAACGGCTACAACCAAGCCAAAATTGGCATTTTGTGTTCGAGTTCGGCTCCAACCTACGTGTTTCGGCATTGCCGGTGGAGGGGGAAAAGTAAGTTTTGGCATTAGCATTGCCGTCTTTGAACGCACCCCGGGAGCTCAAATTGGGGATAATAATTTTTGTCCTACTTTTTTTTGATCGCAACTGTACAGGGTGATTCATTAAGAATGGCACTCGGCCATTTCTCAAAAACTATTCATCGTAGTCATATCGGAAAAAAATTATCCCATAAATATGGCCAAGAGAAAATGCTGGAAATATATTTCAGCTTTCTAAAATGAGCGTAAGGGGGCGCAACCCAACTGTCAAAGTACAAAAATGGTTTTATTTTTTAAATTTCAAATGGAAACGTATCTCAAAAATGCTAGCAATAGATTTTTGATGAAATTTCACACAAATTTGATTTATGACTTTTTACCATAACTTATCAGATAAGATAGTTATGAGCTGTCAAATATTGCAACTCAAAAAAGCGGATAACTTCAAGCCGACTCAACAAATCTGGTCGATCTTAGGTTCGTTGGAGAGATAAGAGTCTGTTCTTTTAATTTTGTTGTGAAAAATTCAAATTCTGGTTAGTAGGACTGACGCTATGGGTCAATATTTGGAAACAATTGAATGTTTCCAATTTTTCTTAAAATTTTCAAATGGAACGATATATTTAAGATATGTTAAATCGATTTTTGAGGATGTTTTACACAGTGTTTCTTTATTATACCTTCCTACAAACGAATTCCAGAAAGTGTTAAAATTAATTTTATTAAAAATAATCAGTATTTATGAAAAAGCCCTCGTAAATTGAGCAGATACCAGTTAAGTATGTCAGGCTGACACATTTTTAAAACTTCAAAAGCTATTTTCTAAAGTCAAAATGCATTTCCCAAATGGAGAAGCACAGGACATCCTTGAGGTTCTGCATGAATGTAATGGAAATACAGCAATCGCAGCCACTGGAATCTAATTATTTTGAAAATGGAGAATGTTTATAAAAAAAATAATAGACTGGTTTTGGATTATCCCTGTTAGTATTTACAGAAAGAGCAGAATGAAAAATGAATAAATCTACAGTACGCGCACAGCATATACAAAAATAATCAGCAGGCTAACTCTCACGCGCATCTTTTATGCGCACCGCCATTAGGGGATACCATTTTGTCATAACGCTGTCATTGAACGGCAGAAGCGCCGAAATTTTATTTTATTTGTTTATTTCTGACGGAGGTCATAGGCGTGCGGTGTAGAGCGGAATTTTAGCTATGATTTTCAAAATGATTTTGATATATTCGTGTTGTCATTTATGGTGTTATCTGTTATCATTCTTGTATATTCAATAAAAATAATAAATTAGTAATTATTAACATTATTATATGTAAGTAATAATAAATTAGTTCATTTAAAGCCAATACGACTCTGTCACAGGAAAGAAAAAACCTAAATTATCGTTAATCAGGCCCTGTTTCGTATCCCATAATGGCCGCTAGTGACATTTTGAGGATGAATTCCTATATTACACGGGCTGTCACTCAAGTTAGCCTGCTGATTGTTTTTGTATATGCTGTGGTACGCGGGTGCCGAATTTATGCGGAAATGACGTCTAGATTTTAATTTCCAAAATTATTAATAGATGGCACCACCTTTTAAGTAGTTTACTATTCTCAAAATAAATATGTATTTCTTCTTCAAGTTTCGTATCCTACAACATGCTCGTGTATCAATGGCTATCAATACATGATCAATGCATAATATAGTTACTATTATAATTTCTTAACGCACTTTTTTTCCATTATTTGACATTCATCAATGATGACAATCAACTGTCAGAAAAGCGAAGTCATTATTTACGAGGGCTTTTTCATAAATATTGATTATTTTTGATAAAATTAAATTTAACACTCTCTGGTATTCGTTTGTAGGAAGGTATAATGAAGAAAAACTGTGTAAAATATCCTCAAATATCGATTGAACATATCTTAAATATACCGTTTCATTTGAAAATTTCAAGAAAAACTAGAAAAATTCAATTGTTTTCAAAAATCCAACCATAGAGTCAGTCCAACTAACTGAAGTTGGAATTTTTTACAACAAAATTAAAGAGCGGACTCTTGTCTTTCCAACGAACCTAAGATCGACCCAATTCGTTGAGTCGTTTTGAAGTTATTCGTGTTCTTATGTTGCAATATTTGACAGCTCATAACTATCTTATCCGATAAGTTATGGTAAAAAGTCATGAATCAAAATTGTGTGAAATTTCATCAAAAATCTATTGCTGGCATTTTTGAGATACGTTTCCATTTGAAATTTAAAAAATAAAACCATTTTTGTACTTTGACAGTTGGGTTACGCCCCCTTACGGTCATTTTAGAAAGCTGAAATATATTTCCAGCATTTTCTCTTGGCTATATTTATGGGATAATTTTTTTCCGACATGACTACGATGAATGGTTTTTGAGATATGGCCGAGTGCCATTCTTAATGAATCACCCTGAACATGCAGGTAGGTATATTCAAATTAGTAACATTGTATTATTTATATATTATCTGTTTTCTATCCATTGCTTTTGTTTTTACAATAAAATATTTGCTTTAGCCAGGAAAGCATAATGTCTAAAGTCGGGAAAAGTATTCTATTTTCCGCATAAAGCTAACGCGCATCTGCATGTAGTAAATGTTACAACATTCCGTATGAGCGTTTCGCACCGATTTACATTCCGTATACATATTTCGAATCTGGATCAATGAAATTGGTTTGGGTGCTAAATAGATGTACATAATGCCTTATTGCTACGTGGACTTATCAGGTGATTTACTTTTTCTACCTGTAATACATGGAAGGATATCAAAGAATTACAATTAAATTAACAGCGTTCCTCTCTTGAACATGGATTGCATTATCATGATTTTTTCAGTTAGCAAAATATATCTGCCGTAACTGTAACTGTGGCGACACGGAAGAATACATGCTGCTATGCGACGGTTGTGACGACAGCTATCACCCTTATTGTTTGATTCAATCATCAGCAACTATTATCTCAAAAGGTGATTGGATGTGTCCCAATTGTGTTGCAGAAGAAGTATCTAAACCTATGGTAGCTTTTGGGTTTGAACAGGCCGAGAGGGAATATACTTTACAACAGTTCGGAGACATGGCTGATAGTTTTAAGTCAGATTATTTTGATATGCCAGGTCATGTAAGTAGCTACTATTATTATCATTGATTGAAGTTGCTAGACATCCAAATTGTAGATGGTTCCAACCAGTACGGTTGAACGGGAATTTTGGCGCATTGTGTCTACAATAGATGAGGATGTGATGGTAGAATATGGAGCCGATTTACACACGATGGATCATGGGTCTGGGTTTCCTACAAAATTATCTTCAAACCTTTTGCAAGGGGATAAAGAATATGCGGAATCCAGTTGGAATTTGAATAACTTACCTGTACTTGATGGATCAGTTTTAGGTTATATTAATGCTGATGTATCAGGAATGAAGGTATTAAAAAAAAAAAAAATATAACTATAGACTATAAATTCAGTAATATTTTATCTAGGTTCCATGGATGTATGTTGGTATGTGCTTTGCAACATTTTGCTGGCACAACGAAGATCACTGGGCCTATTCTATTAACTATCTTCATTGGGGTGAACCTAAAACATGGTATGGAGTTCCAGGTAGTGAGGCGGAAAAATTTGAAGAAACGATGAAATCGGTAGCTCCCGAATTATTCCATTCTCAACCGGATTTATTGCATCAACTCGTCACAATTATGAATCCAAATATTCTTATGAATGTTGGTGTACCAGTTTACAGGACCGATCAGCATGCTGGAGAATTTGTTGTTACTTTTCCGAGGGCTTATCATGCAGGATTCAACCAAGGGTTAGTTTTTTTTTCAATAACTAATTTTCAGTGGTTTTACATGTTATGCATTATAACATTATTTAAATAATGTGTTTGTTATAGGTATAATTTTGCTGAAGCAGTGAACTTTGCTCCTGCGAACTGGTTGAGAATGGGTAGGGAATGTATGCTACATTATTCACATTTAAAGAGATTTTGTGTATTTTCCCACGACGAGCTTGTTTGCAAAATGGCGCTGGATAATGATAAGCTGGATTCAGCTGTTGCAGCTGAAACCTATCAGGACATGCTTGTTATGATGGACACTGAAAAGAAATTACGGAAAACGCTACTTGATTGGGTGAGTTGACTTACTGTAAATTTAAAATCTGGAATTTGTTTCCACATCAAACACAGGGCCGATCCTAGCAGCTATGGGATCACGAAACTCGATCCCGTTCAATCGAGCAATCGTCTATCGAGTCGACAAACTCATTCATGGTGTTCGATCGAGAGGAGAATCGAGAAACTCGATTCGATTTTTTTTTTGGACACGCTCTGAAACTTAGTGAGCAAGTGCCAAGGACAAAAAGACCAAAAACAGAAGAAAATATAAACATGCATTTTCTTGGGTACGTTAGGATGTATTATAAGGTCTGTTCCCACAGAAATCACAAACCAGTCAGAGCGAATTTCATTGATTGAAAATAGTCAGGAAACTGTTTTTTTGCAATTTGGACAAATCAAAAACGCTCTGACTGGTTTGTGATTTCTGTGGAAACAGACCCTATATTATCGGTCTATAATGTTGTACGTCTTCCGATTCGATCTCCAACCGTTTCTGTGAATCCAGGCATCTTCCTCCAAGCCCCTATCTCTCATTTCCTCGTCTACTCCACTTTTCAGCTTCTTCTTGGGCCGCTGCGTCTTCTTCTTCCCCCTGGCTTCCACTCAATGATTTGCTTGTATAGTCTCGTATCTGCCATTCTTTATACGTACATGTCAGAACCAAACTACCAAATCAGTTGTTTGTCTTCAACTTATCTACCTACTATTGTGTAGCTTTCGCTTACGTTCATAATTTCTCTAATTCCCTGGTTTGTTGTCCTTTCCATTTTGGCCTTGCCTGTCGCACTTCTCCAAAAGTCCATTTCAGCTGGTTCCAGCATTTTTGCGGTTCTGTCCTTTCTATTCTATCTATTTAGTTTTCTTTCAATGTTTTCTAATAGTGCTTTATTTGATGTTAGGTTTCGATGTGGGATCGTCAGCGACCAGTTGTGGTTTATACAATCGTGTATATTGTTGAACTTTACTGGCGTAGATGTAGTCAAAGGGTTGAGCACAAATGATTTTAGGTTTGTCCAAGCTGCAGGGATCACGTGAGTAATGTATAGCTGTGTATCTACTTCCTTGCAGGGGAATCTCTTTGGTATTATTATTTTATCATTTATTTTTAGGTTACACTGGCATGGCATGAGGACTTTGATTGCCCCTGGTTGTGCTGTACCCTTTTTTCTCTAGGACTGTGGACTTCTTTGGGCAATCTACTTTTATATCTCCCTGGGGGTGGGTTATAATAAATTGGTCGTCTCCGATTTCCGTGATAACCAGGAGAGTTGATTTGTGACACCTCATAGGGCAGTGGGTGGTCAGGTCTTCCACTGTAGTGCCTTGAAACAGTTTTGTGGCACACGAAGGGCCCTGGAGTGTGTCGCCTGAAAACCTTGGCAGGTAGCATAGCTTATTTTCATACGGGTTACATAGATGAATACCCGTTCCTGTTATCTGTCTTGTGGTTTTGCTCTCATGGTAGTCATTACCTCCAGCTACCGCCATATAGAGTGTGTTGTGTTCGATGATACATGTCTGACCCTGCCATGAAAAAGGGTACGTCTGTAATTCAAATAGTTGCCATTGACGGTTCTTCTCGTTTGTAGGAACTTTTATATGAATTACTAGTTTGTTGTCTGTGAAACTGCAGTCACAAATTGGGAGCTCATAGTACTTAGAGATTTCCTGCGTTTGGATTACCAGTTCGTGTTCCCTGTTTTTGAGCTCTGTGTTCAGGTGTTTCCAATCTTCCTCAAGTATTTGGAGAGTTACAACCGCCATTGGTATGTGGTGGTGTTTGCAAGAATCTAAGATACTTTGTCTTTTCATGGTTCTGGTAACTGTCACTACCTTTCTTGCCAGATCTATGTTATTCTTTAAGATCAAGTATATTAGGTTACGCTGTGTTGCCTCTTCTTTCAAAAACTCATTGCCCACCGTTTCTACAAAATTCTCCAGGTTTTTGATTTTCGTTTCAGTTGTTTTTAGAGCCGCTGCTGTTTCTTCTTGGGATTGTTTCATGTAAGATGATTGTTCTCCTATTACTTTAATCGCTGATTCAAGCCCTTGCGTTACTGAGTCCAGTCTTGATCTTAAGGAATCTGTGTCCATGACTAAAGAGTCTAGTTTCTGTTGTGTGGCCACCCCGCAGCACCAGTTAAGTCCGTCCGCTATGAATGACACGGAGATTGCTCTCTTTGCCTTCTTTGATTTTTTCAGGCGAGTAGTGATCCCATCGTTATTTAGGCTGCTTATCTCTTTGTCCACTGCCTTGGCTATTTCCTCCATCTGCTTCATTACCTTGCACTCTATTTTTCCTTTATCTAGGCATTGCATTGTCGTTTGTTTTTCTTGCACTTCGTCTTGCCATGATACCCTATATGTCAGTGGTATGGATCCTCCATATGATATTGTTTCCGGCAGTAGCTTCCACGAGGCTCCTGCGGAAACTTCCACTTCATTCCCTTGGTGTGCACCTATGTACACCACCAAAATCCTGTGAACAAAGGTAAAATTTGTTAGGATTTGTTTTCATCTTGAGCTACCGTTCCTCTCCATTTTTTCTCTGGCGATTATCTTATACTCCCTAGCTAATGTTTTACCCTATTTTTTCTATCCTATTTCTATTTTCCTACTCCATAGTTTTTGCTTATGTTTTATCTGTACAATCAGTCTTCTTCTTCCTCGTTTTCTGCTTCACTGCTTTCAATTTCTTCATCAATTTTTTCTTCGTCTTCTTCATCCTCATCAACTTCAGATTCTGCGTTTTCAGCTATATCTGTCTCATCTGCCCTTTCTTCAATAGGCGCAGCTTCTGTCCATGGATCGTAGTAGGGTAACATCCTACGCACGTGGACCGTATCCTTTTTTCTGCTTGCAATCTTTTGTACCTCGTAATTCACTTCTCCCATTTTTCTAATTACTTTGTATGGTCCAAACCATCTTAAGAGTAACTTTTCGCTTCTTCCAACTTTTCTAATTGGTATGAAAACCTTAACTTTGTCTCCAACTACGAAATCTAATTCTCTATGTCGTTCGTCAAAACGTCCCTTATCTTTTCCTTGTCTTTTTTGTATATTTTCTACTGCTATGGCTCTTATTAAGAGTGCCTTTTCTCTGGGCGGCTGTGATGGCATATCGTGAGGCGTAATCGGTAACTACAACTATCATTGTTTTCCCTTTACTGCTCCTTCTAAATGGGCCTAAAAGATCAATTCCGATTTTGTCGAAAATTGTTCCCACCGGTATTGGTTGTAACATCCCTGGCGTTTTTCTGTAAGGTTGCCCCTTTCTAGCTTGACAATCTGGGCATCCCTTAACGTACTTTTCGATGTCCTTTAGCATTCCATCCCAAAAAAATCTGTTTTTAATTTTGTCCGTTGTTTTGCTCAGTCCCAAGTGTCCACTTGTCGGTGATGCATGTAGCTCCCACATAATTTCTTCTCTCATTGATTTTGGTACTACTAATACTTTTTCTAAGCCGTTTTTTGTCTTATTAATTTTAAAGAGTAAGTCTTTTTCAATCCTAAAATTTTTTGCTCTTCTTCTGATGCCAATATTAATTTCTGGGTCGTCTGGGTTTCTTATAGCTTTGAATATTTGTTTTGGATTTGGGTATTTCTCCTGCCCGGCGCCTCCACCAAATATGTCACAACTGCCCGCTTTACGGGGGTGACATGGGGGGTTTGTAGCTTTGGGGGTTGATGGAGAGAAACTCGCTCAGGTTATATAAAAATATAGATATATATTTTCCCAAATATAACCTTACATGTACGCTAACCCTATAAGATACATGACCCTTCGTACACTGGGGTCCTTATAGGGGGCCACACGTCAATGCTGCTTGGGGGACTCTAGGTTAGTTTATCGTCACCCTTATGCCTTGTCCAGAGGGGCGTTCCCAACGAGAGGTAATTGCACTGGACAACGATAAGGCTGAAGATACCCAGAGAAGCGTTTCCAACGAGAGGTACTTGCACTTGGGAGACTTAATTCCAGAGGGGATTTTCCAACGAGAGGTACTTGCACTGGTTTAAGTCTGCCTTTGCTGCGGCTTGCAGCGCAATTTATATTTATTGCTGAATTGCAATAAACATTCGATCGAATCGGCAATTAAATTAATAAGGTTGAATACCGGGTGCGGGTCCTCCTTTCCTAAGCAGCTAGTTGACAATATTCTTGCTCATTTTCAATATAAATACATTAAAATTTCCACACCGTGTAGATCGGTAACGAAGCATTTGTTTATTAGAAATTTTAGTCATAAAATCAACCAAAGAATCACCGCCTTCTATTTGTACAGGGTATTTGATTATATTTAGCACCATACCTACAGCCTTTACTATTTAAGATAGAAAAAAATTGTAAATACAAAACTTGACAGTTTTTTTCTATATTTTCTGTTAACGTTATCAGAAAAAACAAAATCGCATTGGAAAATGGAGAAACGTAGACAACTTAAACTTTTTTAAATGGAACACCCTGTATATTTTGCCATAAAATGAAAGACCTTTTCTTCCTGATTACAAATGTATATATGGTGATAACATTTGCATGAGCCATTTTTGACATATCTCAGCTTAAATTATAACTAAATTGCAAAGAAATTTTATAAAGATAGAGATCCTTATGGAACTTCTCTGCAAATTCTTCATAATTTAACCTGAGATATGTCAAAAATTGCTCAAGCAAATGTTATCAATATATATATATATATTTGGAATCAGAAAGAATAGATCTTTCATTTTATCGCATAATATACAGGGTGGTCCATTAAAAAAGTCAAAGTTGCTTACGTTTCTCCATTTTCCGATGCGAGTTTGTTTTTTCTGATAACGTTATCAGAAAATACAGAAAAAAACTGTCAAGTTTTGTATTTAAATTTTTTTTCTATCTTAAATAGTAAAGGCTCTAGGTATGATGCAAAATATAATCAAATACCCTGTACCTACATGAAATTCAGGAACCCTCTGTATATTAGCTAACAAAGTTTTCGAAAAAAATACGCTTTTAATACAAAACCTGAAGTTTTTCGAAACATTTTTCCATTAGCCTTTTCTGTGGTGATCATCATCGGCGTATCCAAAGCAGGTGAATCCCTGATCGCTCAGTTAAATTCAAATATCATCAACTCCTAGACTCCACATCAAAGGTGAGAATACCCCTGTGAACATCCTCTAGTTCTAGTTGTGTGGACTTTTGTGGTTTTTTCACCTACGTCAATTTATGCAAAAAAAATAGGTGAATATTAGTATGTACGCAACACTTTAAAATTGGTAGGAAATTAATTTTGAAAAATGTAGGTACCTACATAAAAATAAATATTTGTGTACAGTGTAACTTTTATTTCGATCGTACCATTTCCCTTACATTTTAATTTAATATCACCGACTAATAATATATTTGTCTACAGGGTGTCAAAAACGCAGAACGTGAAGCATTTGAACTGCTACCAGATGACGAAAGGCAATGCGAAGTATGTAAAACAACATGTTTCTTATCTGCAGTGACCTGTTCTTGTATATCAAATACTCTTGTCTGTCTCAGACATTGTAAAGATTTATGTGAATGTCCTTCAGCAAATAGAACTTTGAGATATAGATACACTCTAGAGGAATTGTCAATTATGTTGAAAGCTCTAAAAGTCAAGGCTGAATCCTTCGATCATTGGCTTGCAAAAGTGAAAGATATTTTAGACCAAAACTCTTCAAAGACCTTCAATTTAAGTGATTTAAAAACTCTCCTTGACGAAGCAGATGAGAACAAAATCCCAAACTGTGAACTTCTTGAAAAGTTAACTAGTGCTCTTATCGATGTTGAAAAGTGTGCTAGTTTCATCCAACAGTTAGAGTCACATAGGCATTCTGATAAAGGCAAATATAAATTACCAGTTGAATTGCTGACATTATTTGGCGATGAAAATAATAGCCTTGTAAGTGTTTTTGATGAAGCCAAAAACATAAGGGATTTACTAACCCAAACTGAAATATTTACAGCAAAAAGTGAAGAGCTTCTAAGTCAATCTTTACAACAAAATTCCCTTGTAGAATTAAAAGAATGTCAAAATCATGGTGATGGCTTGGGTATAGATCTTCCAAATCTTCAACTTATCAATACAAGAATTAAACAGGTACAATTTATGAAAGAAGTAGACGCTTACAGAAGAAAATCTAACATGATGGAGGTTGCTTTAATTGAAACTTTAATTCAGCAAGGTAACTCTGTTCCACCTCATGTTGAAATAGAGAAAGAACTATCTAATCTTCAGTCAGTAGTCCATAAAAGTCACGAATGGGAACAAAGAGCACAAGAATTTCTTATGTGTCAAGATCCGGATATATTTTCCCAGGGTGCAAAGCTTCTCAAAGATGCATCAAATATTCCCTGCCATTTACCAACAGCATCTATTGTTTCTGAAGCTATTAAAAATGGCAGAGAATGGTTGGAACAGTTAGAAGAAATTAACAAAGCTGAATATTACCCATATTATAGTGCCATAGAAGAATTGATAAGAAAAGGGCGTCTACTAGTGATTCATTTAGAAGAGTTTGATAGATTAAATGAATTCCTTATTCTGGCTGATGGTTGGAAAGAAGAAACTGGCAGAGTTTTTCTTAAGAAAAATTCTCTTACAACTTTAATAGATACTTTGGCACCTAGAACTGATTCACCTAAACAGGGAAAATGCACTATAGATTTTACTCATAATATGGATCCAGCTACTGTCCAAGCATTATTTAAAAAAGCAGAACAAAGCGAAATGTCGATAATAAGAAATTTAAGACAATTTAACCAACAAAAATCACTAGAACCAAATGATCTTAGCTTCAATTATTGTGTCTGCGGACGAGGTGTTTCTGGTGTGATGATGAGATGTGTACTCTGTCTGGATTGGTTCCATTCCACTTGCACTCATCTTCCCAAAATTGCATCTACCAAATTCAACAGCAATGTTCATAATATTGCTTTAAGTTTAGCATTTGAAGATTGCAAGTACATATGTTGCAATTGCCAAAGATCCAAAAGACCTAAACTGAATAAAATTCTCAGTTTACTATTGTCTCTTCAAAAACTGCATGTTAGAGTCCCTGAAGGTGAAGCTCTTCAAGGCTTGACTGAGAGAGCAATGAACTGGCAAGATAGAGCCAAACAGCTTTTGCTAACTCCTGAACTTGTGAGAGCCAAAATCAAGTTGAATAATTTGCTTCAAAAGTTTGATGCGATACAAAAAACTAAGATTTTTACAACTGAAATAAAAGAAGTTTTTAAAAATAATGCAGTACATGGAGAAGGTTTGGCCTATGATAGTAGAATCAATGAATCTGATGACGCATCAAAAGAATCAACAAGAAACCAGGTTAAAGATTGTGTTGTACGTATCACTCCAGAAGTAAGAAGGAGAATGGAAGAATTACTAATGGAAGGTGATTTATTGGAAGTGTCCCTAGATGAAACTGAAGCCTTGTGGAAATTATTTCTAAGCTCTAGAGATCACAAGCGTGAAGTTATGCTTATCGACTTTGACGATCCTCTCAAAGCAAGTCCGAAAAAACGAGGAAGAAAGAGACTTTCTAAGGATTCCATCAATCCTGCTAAAAAAACAACCAAAACTACAAAAGCAAATAGAGAAAAAAAAGGTTGCAATAAACAAATTCCTAATGAAGAAGAAGTCTGTGCAGCTTATTACTGCCAAAAACCATCTGGAGAAATTGTGGATTGGGTTGAATGCGACGCTGGTTGTGCTCAATGGTTTCACATGGCCTGCGTTGGTTTGTCAATTGAAGAAATAAATGAAGATGAGGATTCTTTTATATGTATGCCTTGTTCTCAAAGTACTACTTCTCGAAGCGTTAAGACATGCAGTCCAAGATCCCCAGACTTAACACAGCCTTCTACTTCAAAAGACGTTTCCTAGTGATTCGAAATGAAACTTATATGTTAGAGCTCTTTTATTTGAACTGAAATATTGCAATATTACAAAAAGACTCTTGTTTGTAAGGTTAGTAATTTCAGTTATTGTCTATTCGATAGAAATTTATAATTTGTTTTTGAATTAAGCATAACGTGTTGATTGGACAGTGAATTTAAACGTAAGTAAAGTGGCGGAAGATGAATTCTCCGCTCCGAATCGGATTGTTAGAGTAGAGCAGCTGGTAGGTATATAACAAACGAATGTGTTAAAAAAATAATGGAAATAATAAACATAATGGGTACGTTTAATTGTTAGCTGCTGAGTTGCGCTGATTATCGCTAAATGCACTCATTGACTGATGACATCAGAAAAATACAAATAATATGGTTTGGAAATGGTGTAGTCTCTTAATTTTCTATTTTTGGAATAGGTGGTCTTGGAAGACCAAAAATGGTGGTGTAGTGTTGTTCAAAATGACAACGAAACTGTTTTGACATTTCTTCCCCTGCGGGAGTCTTTTATATACAAACAAAAAGATGGATATTTTGTATTCTAACTTTTCAAATTTTGTTTTTACTGTTTTCATGAAATCGTTTTATCTACACTACCATAATAACCTCCGTATCTATTAAATTACATATATTATATTAAATAATATATAAATAAAAAGACTCGAAAATAAGAGAAAATTTAAGAAAGAAGAACATTTTTTTCTGAGTTCTAAAGCATATTACCTATTTATATGAATTCCTAAAAGACTCACTGAATTGAGTCAACTGAGTGTTGTCATTTTGTATCTACCAGTGATTGGGTTTCTGCAATTTAGTATTAACTTTGCTGTTATGTTACTTTATCTTTATCATCTTATAAAATATGTGTGATTTATAATAAATTTTTGTTTTTTCTGCTACAGGGTATTTATTGATTTATTGTTGTCTTGGATTATTTATATAAATGTTTTAACCTAATCTTGAAACCTAACAGAAATAATTAGCCTGCCTTGTCAAAGAGAATTTGTACATTTTTGTGACATTGAAGCTGTTTTCATTTGATTTGATTTGATATTTAACATAAAGTAAAAAGTAATATTGCCTCATTTTTAGATACCTAGTATTATTTCTTAGCTGAATTTTATGTGAAAATTAAGTACTTACCTAGTTTGTGATAAGTTAGATATTTCCTACCGGTAACGTAAATCAAAATAAGTAGTTTGTTCTAATTTGTCAGTATCCACTTGAAGCAGACACTGTGTGTCAAAGCATAAATTGTGATAATAAAATAATTTGTGAAAATTTAATAGTCTTTAATTTTTAACCATATATCTTTATGAAATGTTGACATTACTCAAGGTTCCTAAAGTGATAGGTTGCCTGGTAATGAGTAACTTGATGACGCATCTGAGGTGCCTAATGGAAATTTGTAACGCTCTTTTGTCGAAACAAAAGAATGCTCATAATAGTGCTCGACTATGCTCAGTGGTTGTTTAGCTTGGGGTGGTCCTTGGTGTTGGTACAGTAAAGAGAGGACGCCACTAGTTTGTATAAAATTATTTTGATTACCAAAGAATAACCAAACTAGATACTATTCTAATAATTAGCTATTGTTTAAAAAGATAAATGCAAAAATCTGAAAAGGTAAAATAAATCCAATGGCTATCTGACATTTAACCTATTCAATGAAAACACAAGTTTTGGAATTCTAAAAACAATAATTTATTAACCTAATGTCGAACTTGTTGTTCATTAAAAATTTGTTGACAGGATGGCGAACTGTTTTTCAATTGTTCAAAATCCAATTTTTTTTTTAAAGTAAGCAGCCTTTTTTTTTTAAAAAATTAAGCAGCCTTTCAAAAGCAAAACTTAATTTAAATAGGTATATAGAAAGATTGAGATTTAAAAACAATTAAATAGATACTTACGATGAATATTACCTAAGTATAAATATTGAAGTGAAAATATAATTAACCTCCAATTTTTGACTCAAAGTCAATCAAATCAATAAAAAAACAAATTAAAGGTAAATAATCCCTGGGGAATTATAAATGCCAAAGACGGACTATATGAAATCAAGGATATCGAGGAGAGCTCTACCGTCTTACCTGTAATTAAAATTCAAAATATGTAAACATAAAACCAAAGAATATTATAGACTAACGTCTCTAGAAGAACCGTCCGGCGGCGAAAATATAAACCTGCGTGATGGCGCTACTGTCCTAGTAACATCAGTCGTTTCTGCGATTAAATTAATTTGAGGCACTAAATGCACGCGTATTTGCTAGGCTGCGTTGCCAAGTTGTCTTTTGTATAACAAATTAAATGCCTGTGTTTTATATAGGTACTTATTATACATATACCTACCATAGAATAGGAATATTTTATAATTTAAAAAAAATAATAAATAGGTAAATAGTTATGTATTTTTGTGGGTAGTAATTTTCTGTTACTAATAAATAGAGGAATAAAACACAAAAATTGTTTCTGTCTGTCTGTCTGTCTGTGTGTCTACCTATGTCCGTTATAGACTTTGAAACTATCCGATCGATGTGCCTCAAACCAGTTTAATGTTTAATATGAAAGGCAATAATAATAAGAAGATTTTAGACCGCTAATGACAGGTGTCAACTGTCAAATTGAGACAGTTGCAGATTGAACCATATCTTCACAACGGATTTTGCTGAAATTTAGCATACACTTCAAGTTCAGGTGATTAGATCATAATACATTTTAGATCACTAATGACAGGTGTCAACTGTCAAATGTGACAGGTGCAGATTTTTGAACCATTATTTCGCAACGGATTTTGCTGAAATTTTGCATACACTTTAAGTTCGGATGATAATATATTTTAGACCACTGATGACAGGTGTTAACTGTCAAATGTAACAGATGCAGATTTGTGAACCATTTCTTCGCAATAGATTTTGCTGAAATTTTGCATACAGTTTAAGTTCGGATGATAATACAATTTGGAATACTCAACACTCAAATGTAATTTTTGACAGCTGTCAAAATATGACAGGTCGAGAGGTGAACAGGTTGTCAGGACTACCCCCGTCTTTGAAAATTTGCTTTTTTCGACAAATAGACAAATTTCAAAAATAAATAACCCATAATTTTGCACACCGATTTTCAAAATTTGCACACTTTTCTAGGGAAAGTTATATCGTATCAAAAATTTGCATAACCCCACCCGTTTTTAAAAAAATTGATAGACCCCTATGCTACTCGTTTCATTTAATTTTGGACAATTTTGCACACCTATTTTCAAATTTTGCACACTCTTCTGGGAAAAGTTATGAGGTGTGATAAATATGCACTTTTTTCCCCGTTTATCTGAAACTTGAAAAATTCTTATGCTACTCGCTTCGGCTAATTTTGCACACCTTATTTTTAATTTTACACATTCCTCTGGGAGTTGAATGTTGTATTAATTTGCACGTTTTCCCCTGTTTGTCAAAAAATTGAAAAACCCTTGCTACTGGGTTCAGTCAATTTTGTACGTTTATTTTCAACCCGAATTGAGTAACATAAAAAATTTTAATTTTCTCAAAAAACCGGCGGAAAAGTGCACATTTTGCAAAATTTGAAAATAGGTGTGCAAAGTTGTGCAAAATTAGGTGAACCTAGTGGCATAAGGATTTTTCAACTTTTTGAAAAACGAGGGGGGGGGGAGAGTGGGGAGACAAGCATAGGATCTTTTAATTTTTCGACAAACGGGGGAGAAAGTGCAAATTTTTAATGCCTTAATAACTTTCCCCAGAAACGTGCGCAAAATTGGCCAAAGCGAGTAGCATAAGCGCAACTAGGCTCCAAATTTGAGGGGTGTTGCAGCACCATTTTTTGTTTTTTTTTTTTTTTTTGGAGTTTGATGGAAAGAAAATGAGACGCGTGAAAAGTTGGTTTCACGAGGGTTTGTACTTACGTCATCATTTGCTTTTTTTTAAAAAAAATTGATTTTTTTATGTCTGAAATTTCAAACAAACATATAGTTTGTTTCACGGCACGCAAGTTTTTACTTACGTCATCGATGACGTCATAACTTAGAGAAAAAGTTATGTCATAGATTAATTCATGGAGCACCTTCGGAATTATTGTTTTGTAATACATTTTTTAACTTAGAAGAGAATTTATTCAGTTATCCGAAAATATATAAATAAAATTTCTCCTAGAGTGATTTTTCACTGTAAATTTTTGAAATTTTCCTTCTGCCAGTTTTCCAGAAAAAATTTAAAATTAAAAAAATGAATTTTGGTTAAAAGTTAGTTTTCCAGAATTTCTTCTGGAGTGATTTTTTACTGGAAAATTTTGAAATTTTTATACATACATATAATGAACTTCTCACTTTCCTCTTTCTCCTGTAAAAATTTCAAAATTTTTCTTCTGCTAGTTTTCCAAAAAAAAAAAAAAATGTGAGAGGATGAATTTTCCTTAATTTTACTTGAAAAAGTCGATTTTCCAAGTGATTTCTCACTGGAAAATTTCGAAATTTTCCTATAATGAGCTCCTTATTTTCTTCTTTCTCTTGAAAAAATTTCACAACTTTTGCTTTATTAGTTTTCCAGAAATAAATTGAAATGTGAGAGGATGAATTTTCCTTAATTTTGCTTAAATAAGTCAATTTTCCAGAATTTTTCCTGAAGTGATTTTTCACTGGAAAATTTTGAAATTTTGTTTTAATGAGATCCTCACTTTCCTCTTTTTTCTGAAAAATTTCCACAATTATCCTTTTGCCAGTTTTCTGGAAATAAAATGTAAGAAAATGAATTTTGCTTAAAAAAGTCAATTTTTCCTTAGTTATTGCATTTTCGAAAAACTCATAATTTTCGTAATTCCCCCATAACTTTTTCGTAATTTTCCCATAACTTCAAAAATCATAATCTTTTCGTAATTCCCGTAATTTTTTGTACTTATTTTTGATTCTCCTAATTTTTTAAAAAACTTCGTTATTTTTAAATTCTCCCCAAGTTTTGTAATTTTCATAATTTCAAAAATTCGTGATTTTCATAATTTCTATAATTTTTGTAATTCTCTTTATTTTTATAATTCCAGTAATTTTTCGTAATTCCTGCAATTTTCCGTAACTTTTCAAAAATTGCGAAAAAGTGAGTGTCAAAATTGCTGGAAAGTGACGTTGGAATTACGAAAAATAGAAGTAAAAATTACGGAAAAATGAGGTTGGAAATGTTGGAATTAGGCAATCCAACGACCTGTCCAAATGGCGTCTGGTTGGCAAACAATAAACAAAACACATATGTTTTTTTTTTGGCAGGATTAAGCCTAGTACTCATAATTTGCTCTTTTTTGACATTGCATCGACAATTTGACATTGAAAAAAGAATGAATTTCGCTTTTATGAGTACCAGGCTTTATCAATACACGGGACGAGTTCTCAAATCTGACATCGTTGACATGTAAAAACCCGTATTCTAACCTCATAAAAATTTCAAAATGCCGGCTGGTTGGCAAAAGTCACGTGGTTTGGATTCCCTAATTGCGAAAAAGTTGAGTAAAAATGGCGGAAAAGCAAGGTTATAATCGAGAAAAAATGAGGTTATAAATACGAAAAACAAAACTAAAGATTATGGAAAAATTAGGTTGAAATTGCGGCAATGTGAGGCGAAAATCGCGGAAAAGTGAGCTTATACTTATTGAAAAATGAGGAAAGAATAACGGAAAAGTGAGGCAAAATTCGCGGAAAATTTTGTTGAAATTGCGAGAAAGTGAGTTTGGACTTTGAAATTGCGGAAAAGTGAAGGTTAAATTGCGAAAAAAAATTGTTGAAAGCCGTTATTTCTCAAATAAATTTTCTTATTTTTATAACTTTTTCTTAGTTTTTGCAATTTTTGCAAAACTCCTAATTTTCGTAATTCCCATAACTTTTTCCTAATTTTCTTAATTTTTCGTAACTTTCCAAAATTCCCGTAATTTTTCAATAATTCCTGTTGTTTCTCAGTTTTTTAATTTCTGTAATTTCTCAAAATATTCAGTTACCTACTTATTTTATAATTCCCCCTAAGTTTTTGTTACTTTCAAAAATTCGTAATTTTCGTAATTTTCAAAAATTTTTTATTGTGAATTTTCCTTATTTCCGTAATTTCTCAGATAATTCTCCCTATTTCTATAATTCTTCCTTAGTCATTGCAATTCTTGGAAAACTCGTAATTTTCGTAATTCCCGTAACTTTTTCATAAATCCCGTAACTTACCAAAAATTATCGTAATTTTTTCGCAATTCTCGTGATTTTTCCTTATCTCTTCCAATCTTTATATTTCCTGTAGTTCCTCAAATTTTCGTAATTTTGTAATTCCCGTAATTTCTCAAAAAAACTCCGTTATCTTTATAATTCCCCCCCAGTTTGTTGTGATTCTCAAAAATTGGTAATTCCCGTTTTTTTTTTTTCTTGGAATTTTCGAAAATTCTTAAATTCCCGTCATTTTTCAAAAAATTCTCGTTAATTTCATAATTCCCCCTTAGTTTTTGCAATTTTCGGAAAATTCGTGAATCCTGTAACTTTTTGTAATTCTTGTTATTTTCGTAATTTTTTGAAAATTGTCACAATTTTTTTAATTCTCGTGATTTATTCGTATTTTTCATAATTTTTGAATAATTCCTGTAGTTTTCAGATTTCCGTAATTTTTTAATTCCTGTAATTTCTCAGAAAACTCCGTTATTTTCATAATTTTGAAATTATATAAGTCTCGTAATTTTCGTATTTTATTTTGGGAATTTTCGAAATCTTGTAATTCCTGTCATTTCTCAGATAATTCTCGTTATTTTCCTAATACCCCCTTAGTTTTTACAATTTTCGAAAAACACGAAATTTTCGTAATTCCCATTACATATTTTCGTAATTTTTTAATTTCCGTAATTTCTCAAAAAAATTTCGTTAGTTTTATAATTTTCTTTCAGTTTTTGAAATTTTCGAAAATTGGTAATTTCCGTATTTTTTTTTGGGGATTTTCGAAATTTTTTAATTCGTGTCATTTCTGAGATAATTCTTGTTATTTTCTAATTCCCCGTTATTTTTTTCAATTTTTGGAAAACTTGGTAATTTTCGTTATTCCCGCAATTTTTCGCGCTTTTTCCAGTAATTATTTTAATTTTCAATTTTCCCAATTTCCAAAAAAATTCGGAATTTGCTAATTCTCCCTAAGTTATTGTAATTTTCGTAATTTCAAAAAATTGTGATTTCCGTTATTTTGGGAATTACCGTAATTCACGTAATTTTGAAATGACTTTGTAATTCTTTTCCGTAATATTTCGTAATACCCGTAATTTTTGTAATTTTCGTAGTTTTTTGTATTTTTCTCAATTCTCGTAATTTTCATAATTTCTCATAATTCCCGCAAATTTTCGTCATTTCCGTCATTTTACTAGGTTCCGTAAATTTTTAAAATTCCCATTATTTTTCGTAATTCCCGTAATTTGTCTTGTTAGTTTTCGTAACTTTTCAAAAATTAGTAATATTTAAATAATTGACGTAATTTTGGAGTGACTTCGTAATTCTTTTGCGTAATATTTGGCAATTCCCATAATTTTTCTAATTTCCGCAATTTTTTGTTATTCCGTGATTCTCGTAATGTTCCGTAATTCTCGTAAATGTTTGCAACTCTCTCTAATTTTTCATATTTTACGTACTTTAGCGTAATTCCCGTAATTTTTCGTAACTTTTCAAAAATTATCGTTATTTTCGTAATTTTGAAATGAGGAAAAATGAGGATAAAATCGTGGAAAGTGATGATAAAATCACAAAAAAAAGAGTCAAAAATCGCAACAAAAATATGAGTAAAAAATTTCAAAAAGAGTGAATTTAAACTCGCGGAAAAGTAAGATGAGACTCACGGAAAAATGAGGATAAAGTCACGAAAAGTAAGGATAAAATCGCGGAGAATGAAATATGAATCGCGGAAAAGTGAGGATAACATCGCAAAAAAAAGTGAGACAAGAATCGCGGAAAAATGAGATTATATTTACAGAAAAGTCGGTTTACAATCGTGAAAAAGTGGATTTAGAATTGCGGTAAGTGATGGTAAAATTGCAAAAAAATGAGTCAAAAATAAAAAAAAAATATTTTTCAAAAATCACAAAAAAAATGAGGTCAAATTAGCGGAAAAGTGGAGATAAAATCGCGGAAAGTAGGGGAACAATCGCGGGAAAATGAGGTAAGAATCGCGGAAAAATGAGGATGAAATAGCAGAAAAATAAGTTCGTAATCGCCGAGGAGTGAGAGCCAAAAATCGCAAAAAAGTGAAAACAAAATTGCAAAAAAGTGGGTCAAAAATCACAAAAAAAATGAGTCAAAAATTTCAAAAAAAGTGAGTGCGAATTTGTGAAAAAGTGAGATAAGAATCGCGAAAAAATGAGGTAATATTTGCGGAAAAGTGGGTTTACAATCGCGGAAAAGTGATAGTAAAATCTAAGATTTCTAAATTATGACGTCATCAAATTGGATTTTTCAATGAATAATAAATTGGAAGCATCTTTCCTACATAAAATTATTGAATTTGACATTTATCAAAAGATCCAAACAACCAGCACCTTGTTTTACAGGTAATGAAATGTCGTGTCAGTTTCTTGAAAGTATGTCGTGGTCAGTAATTATTTTTGCTAGAAATGCAACAAAATACAGAAGAAAGAGAAGATTGCATCGATCCCTTGAAAAATATAGATAAGGCGGCCAATCGGGCAACCTCAGTTGTTCCAATTTTACCATTAATATCAATGTAAATAACTAAAAATACAAACATTTTTGACGTTCGCTCTCAAAATTTGATGTTTCATTTTTAACACTAGTGCTATAAAGACTTTATGGCACTAGTGCGATAAAGTAACATTTTTAATGCTACGGGGGGTGTTAAAAATTGCATTTTTGACACGTTTGTAGAAAAAGTTTTTTTTTTCAAAGATAAAAGTCAACATGACATTAAGTTGGCAATGCAATGTAAAATTGTCAATGCTTTCAAATTTTTTATGTAGAAAAGGCTTGTGTTGCCAACATAGTTATTGAATTTTTGACTTGGGGAATTATCTTTAAAAAAAAACATACTTTAACTTTCCCCAGAAAAGTGTGCAAAATTTGAAAATAGGCATGCGAAATTGTGCAAATTTAGGTGAACCAAGTAGCATAGGAATTTTTCAAGTTTTAGACAAACAAGGGGGAACGGTCAAATTTGCCCCTAGTTTAAAAAAATGCTCTAGTTTTCGTTGTGTTGTGTGCAATATTTTAGTTATAGTGTGCAAAATTATCATGGTTTAGGTATTTATTTTTGAAATTTGTTTAATACAGGCGGAAACTTGACCGACCCCAAAATTTACTTGTTGGTAAATAAACCAATCTACTGGAAAATAAATAAATAATTCATAATTCGAAATTAAACATAAATTTCTAAGTGGCAAATTTGCCAAATATACTGAAAAAAAAACCTAAAGAAAATGATAGAATAGCATCCATCTATGATATTCGTTGGTAAATTATCAAATATGTTAGAAGACTAATCGATTATTTTTTTTTGATAAATCGTTTATTTTCGATCAATCGATTATTTTTGATTAATCGATTATTTTTGATCAATCGAAAATAATCGATTAATCGAAAATAATCGATTAATCGAAAATAATCGATTAATCGATTATCGATTTTTTGAAAATTAAATAATCGACTTATCGATTAATCGATTAATCGATTATTAATCGATTTTTAATCGATTAATCGATTATTTTGCCCACCCCTAATGAACA